GTTACGCATTATTTAAATATTTATATTTATTAATGTTCATGAATAATTGTTTTTATAAATGTATACATATGGACTTATTGGTGGTCCTCATGACGATGTCACTGTTACCCTCGAGTGAGCTGCAGACTCTCCATCAGAAGTTGCACTCAGATTCAGCAGCTGCTTTCCCATTCGAACGTGTGACACCACGAGTTGCGTCATCTTTCGACGCCACCGTCCGCACAAGAAATGAATTCCCCAAGTGAATCGAGGAACCGTCCGGCCAAGTCTCAAATCTGTCTTTGAAACACGAAGCAGCCAATCGTCACCAGGCTGGGCGCTGCTATAGGAGGGCAACAGACCGTGAAGCTTCCTTGTGTTCAGCCGCTCGAATAAACATTCATCTTCCGACTGCTTCGACATCACGAGAACTGATTTTGATGCACCACCACCACCCGCAAGATTTTCTCCCCCGGGGTTGCAAATCGCGGGTGGAAAAAAAAAATATTTTTTTATACCGCGCACCACCACCGTTCATATTCAAATTACTGTGGCAGCTGCCACCCTCGCTAGCCATTAGGCATCCCGTCGGGTGATCAACGGTGCCGGACTTGTTCTTTACCCCTGCGCGCCCAGATCGGACGCGGTGGCGGCGCCTGGAGAAGCTGGACGTGCACGCCAGGCCCATGGTGCCGCTGTCGCCGAGGCCGCTGCTGTCGAGCCGCGAGGGTCGTCCGAGCGGTGACCCCGCCGTCGGCGTCGTCGTCGTACCCCACGCTGCCGTACAGGCCCTCACTCTCCCCTGCCCACCGCCGCCCACCCCAGGGTCAGTTCCGACAACGACGACTTGTGCTCGACGCGGCCGCCCACCCGGGCATCTTCACGGCGTCTCGAAGCGCTTTACCATCTCGATTAAGCTTTTGTGACATGCATGGATTCATCTTCTTGGTTCTTTGATAAAGTCACGTAGAAGGGAAATAATGAAATAATAAAATATTATTTTTATTTTATTATTTCCCTTCTACGTGACTTTACCCGAAAGAACCAAGAAGACGCTTTACCATCGTCACGTCGCACCACCCCCCCGATGGCAGCTGTCCCTGTGTGGGCACAAGGAGACTCGGCACCACCTGGCATTAGTCTGCCAGTAGGGGTGCGATGAATGCCGCTGCTGCGGTGTAATCCCAATCAAGTAATTTTCGGTGTCATTTTTTTTTATTTGGCAACATTTGGTCGTATGTAAGTATGTCGAACTTCTTTCGCACCGTACATGGCCAGCCTTGCGAATCGGAGGTGCGGATCCTACGGTGGTGTTACCGCATTTCTACCGCTGGCTGGACAGCCACGCTCGGTGATTGAACCCGGCGGCTTCTGGATTGCAAGCCCAGTGTGCTAACCATTATATCGCTGCAGCGCCGCTCTAAGTGACAGCAGTAAGAACTCGTGAAGGGCATCGCAGCAACCATGCAGCCATCGCAAAAACTCCCGTTGTGTGGATGCAAGGGAAGAGACGCTGGAAAGTTAAAACAATTCACACGTTCAACACCATTGACATTTTTCGTCGAGGTTTTTGGCCACCATCACGGTATACGTGCCGATCAGAGGTTGGGAATTCAAATCCCTTTGAGGGTGATCAGATCCCCCTTCGCTCTGGGATTGAATGAACTCAACAGCGACAGTCATGTGGATATATACTCCCCCTGTCATAGGAATGTGTCATTTCATGTGCTGATATTGGTTTGGGCATATTTACAAAAGTTTCACACGTAGGCTTTCGTGACCATTATTATCTATTTAATACCGAACAGGATGACTTCTTCACAATTCTGGCTAATCGCCTGATGAGGCTGGTTGTTGTAATCAGCAGCGAAACGTCACAGTACTCAAATTGTAAATGTTGTGGGTTTACTCTTCAACACAGCGGTTAGTGCTGTACTAGCAACTAATTGGCACGTTTTTGTTTACGTGACAAACCTTACTAATTGGCTGTGTCGGGCAGTGGCGGTTTTAACGACGCATTTATATGTAGGCGATTTAACCAAAGAAAAACGTAACTTTGGACTCTACGGTTTGTTTTTTTTGTACAAATTGAGGAATTGTTTTTGGGGGCATTAACATCGTGGGGTTTTGTGGGCCGGCGTTCCCGAGCCGCGAGAGCGCCGAGACGTTTGCACGGCCAACGCGTGGCCCCCCTGCGAGTATGAAAAGCAGAGATAAGAATAAGCGACTGAACCCACAGCCAGAATTCGTGCAACTGCGAAATCAGCAGCGTGACCCACTCAGCCTTTGGTGAAAATTAGCCCATAAACAGGAAATAAAATAATGTTGATATTTAGACCGATTTTCTGCAGTAGTTTTTTTATGGGGGGCAGAGGGGGGGTGGTGGGGAGTACAGTATTTACAAATTAGAATCCTATACAAAAATAACAACGCCTGTAAGGCCCCCATGGCCAAAGATGTCCATGGGGGTTTTACAAGCGAGCAACACGCACCCTTAAGACTAACGCCAAAATACAAATCCTGCGCATGTTTAATTACTGGTGGGCGAGAGAAGAGTTTGCGAGTCACAATAATGAACGAAGTCCGTTTCGCCGAGATGCCGGATACGACTCGTGCTTAGGTGACATCTGTGGCCACAAGAAGGGCCCCCACATCGCACCCCTGGCTTTGACGTGCATCCCTCTCGAGGTACGTGGCTGTGGTGTTAACCACCAACCTCATCAGAACACCAACAGGCCGATGCACACATCTCCTTCATTACTTGGATACTAAAGACAAGCCACGACAGCGCGACTGCAGTGCCGGACTAAACTAGTGCGGGTCCTGTAGCATATGTTATAAAGGGGCCCTAAATTAAAAAAACATAAATATTAAAACATCAATGTTTAACTTGCATAGTAAAGTAATTCTATTTTTTCATTTGCTATACAGCCAGTTAATACGACAAATCGCTAACCTTAAACACCCAGTTGTTCATAAAAGTTGAAGGCGGTATAGTACTATAGTAATAGAGCAAGTTCAGAATCACTGAACCGGAATTTATAGCTTGAAAGCGTTTAGCGCGGGGCCCTTGAAAGTGTGGGGCCCGTAGCATATGTGGCTACTTTTGCTACTGGGATAATCCGGCACTGGGCGACTGACCATGCAACCCAACTACACGCCACAGGGTGAACCACGGTAGCCCGCGTTCCATCAGTGAAGGATTTGCCAAAGAAATCGAATTGTATTGCTACTGCATTATACATTTTACGCCATTCGTTTTTGAATAATATTAATTTCTGCGTGCATTTTTACAGCAACTAATCGCAGCAGCAGCAGCGTCCATGTAAACTTAATCTTTCTCACAAAATTAGCCTACAAACACTAGTGGAATGTCAGCAAATAAATAACAAACGTACGCATTTTGCGATTTAAAGCTTTCGTGACTGCAGGGATTCATCTTCTTGGTTCTTTCGGTAAAGTCACGTAGAAGGGAAATAATAAAATAATAAAATAAAACATAATAAAATATACGTACGAATGTCAGCCACCCAGTGTTGATCATATCTGGATTCGAATTAATGATATCCATCGGCAGTGTTGGTTGTGTTGAATGTAGCGTAGAAACTCGTGACACGTGGGCTATGAGAAGGCTACTGCCGCCCACTTCCTGCAACGGTGGAGGAGGAGGAGGAGGATCAAAACTCCAGTAACTCCTGAAGCCCTCTCTCCGTGCCGAGCCAGATCCACACACTGGCATTTCGCTTGTGAACACATTGCTGCCGCCATGCGCAAAATAGAATAGTAACAGTGGCAGCCCTCCGATATGTTTGATCAGAATCATCAGAGTATTTATTTATACAGGAGGAATCCCATGAGCTATGAATCTACATTTCACCTATGTCCAGTAGGGCAGGTCAGAACGTTACAACAATACAGATAAAAGGGTAGAAAACAATTATCATGTTAAAATGTCAAGTATTTCTGTAACTTCAAGGAAGGAAGCATTGAAATTAGTCTGACTTTCCTAGTGAAGGCATCCGATTGTGTGCACTGTATGTCCTTGATCATTATAAATGTCGCCGCACAGCGCCGCTCTTTAAAATGCTGGGATGATACTCTTTGATTCTTTCGGTAAAGTCACGTAGGGATAAAATAAAATGAATAAAATCACGACGTTTCGATTGCAACACAAGCAATCATCATCAGGTGGGAAAACCACAGCAAAAGATGTTTTCTTGCTGTGGTGATGATTGCGTGTGTTGCAATCGAAACGTCGTGATTTCATTTATTTTATTTTCTACCTACGTGACTTTACCGAAAGAACCAAAGAGTATGGATCCCTGCAGTCACGACAACTTCAAATCTAGCTGGGTAGATTATCATAATTCCTTCTCTGACTAATGTCACATTGCGTGTCACGTGTTCTGTCGCAGGTCTCCACTGCCATCACCGTCCTTCCTGAGCAATCAGACGTTTTCGATGCTGACGCAGGTAGGCGCTGCGAAAGAACGTCTCGGTGCTCATTCACTTGGCGCATGTCTCATCAACAAATGCATCTTCAGAGCGCTTTATAAAAAAAATAGATTTACGTGAATGTCCAATACTTAGCATAGGTAAAAAAAGACAACACATCTTCTTGGTTCTTTCGGTAAAGTCACGTAAAATGGAAATAATAAAATAATAAAAATAAAACATAATAAAATAATTCTCACGAAGTTTCGGCCACAACGCAAGCAGCCGTCCTCAGGTGGAGAACATGTCTGTCGAGAAGACAGCGTCTACGTGACTTTACCGAAAGAACCAAGAAGATGAATCCCTGCAGTCACGAAAGCTTTAAATCGAAGTTTAAAAGATAACACATTTAGCTTAAAAATAACAAAGCGTACTCTTTGGTTTTTTCGGTAAAGTCACGTAGGTAAAACAATCAATAAAATAACTAAATTTAGTTCTTTTCATTTATTTAATTTAATTTTTTTTTACCTACGTGACTTTACCGAAAAAACCTAAGAGTATGAATCCTTGCAGTCACGAAAGCTTCACATCTATAAATAACAAAGCGGTCTGTGGGGGTTGCTCATTTATTTTTTATTATATGGGAGGATGAGGAGTTCTGATTCATTTTCTCTCCCATGCAATTCCCACAAAACTTTTCATAGGACACCAAAGAAGATTTGTTTTTAAACGTCGCTACAACGGCGACAGAAAGAAGGCCAATAACTCGATCCAGAATACAATGACTCTTCACCAGATTTGGAATGTGTTAACTGTGCCTCGATTCGTTATGCGCCATTGACGCGCTGTGCGCGAGGAAGCGAACCACCTGTGGCAGATAACGATGTTTTGACATCGATGGAGCGATCTTGATTTGAAGCTTTCGTGACTGCAGGAGTCCATACTCTTTGTTTCTTTCGGTAAAGTCACGTAGGTAGAAAAATAAAACAAAACCAAGTACAACCAGCTCGTCAAAGCTCTCGGGGCGACAGCAACAGCGCACATTTACATAACCCCATAGTTCACCAGCTTAACACACGGTCTACCCTAGGCAATTAGATTTTTTTTATGTATTAATGCGGTAAAACGTACAGCAGATAATTGTTACATGAGCTCGCTCCATCATCAACGCTTTTCTTTTGTATACGAACCCTTTGGGGTGAGTGGAGCGGCAAAGTTCACGCCTGAGTTCGATTCCCTGACCACGGCTAACATCAGTGGCGAACATTATCCCTGAATCGTCCTCGGCCCTGACGGATGGGTGCGGTGAAGTATGGTCAAACATATTCCCGTGCCTTGGCGCGGCGTTTAAGCGGGCCCTTCATCTAACGGTAGATTGACAAAAGGGTGAATAATCAGTTGTTATTTTATCAAGACGTTAATTGCGTAACGTAAATTAATGTTAGTTAAAAAAACCCCATCGATTTTCTTCTTCGTGCGGCCGATGTTGCTGTAGAGCAGCAGCTATGATTGTACGTTGACGTGGTAGAGGCGGATGATTGCGTCGGCAGTAGCTGGCTGGTGAATTGTCGCCGTGACGGCGCCTCCTGTATTGTATTGGTGATTCGGGCCCTGAGGCGTTGTACGTCCATTGGTCTATCCTTCTGCACGACCACAGTAAAATAGAGTTTACATGTCCATGTGTTGTTTTTACTGTTTTGTACACTATAGCAAATCATTGCCAGTGTGTATCTGTCAGGAAACTAAACAAGAATTGCTCATCCATAATATAGTTGTTTTTGGGTTAGATCGCGTAAATATAAATGTGTCGTTAAACCCGCCACCACCCGACACAGCCAACGAGTAAGGGTTGTCACGTAAACAGAACGTGCCAATTCGTCACGAGTACAGCACACCGGTGTGTTGGAGAGCAAATCCACAACATTTACAACCTGAGTAGGACGTGGATGATACTGGTCGCGAAAGCCTGCGTGCTAAAGAATTGCTAACTCCTCTCTGGTTCTTTTGTAGAAATCAGAAGACTCGACCGGATCACCTGAGAAAGGTGAAACAAAGCCCCTCCTTGTGTTTCATATTTTAGTCTAATCGGCGGCCTGCAGAACCTCTTCATGTACAGTCGATTCTCGATTATCCGCGCTAATTACGGGAAGGACAACCGTGGATAATAAAAAATTGCGGATAATCCAAAAAAAAAATACGCGGATCTCTTTGTCAAAAACCTCTAATGTAGGTGTAAATACGTTTAAGTCTCTCTGCGATCGCACAGTTTCGTCAATAAATGATCAAATAAATCACGAGAAATTCAGCTACAAAACTGACGATTTCAATTGTTACTCTTACGATTTAGAACGAATACTAATGATCGACCGACCGATGATGTGCGTGCTCAGTGAAAGCACTCTCCTGCTTCTGCACAGAAGACTCTGCCCACGAAGTGAATGGCAGCAGAGCCACGCCAATCAACATCAATACAACTCCGCCCACTGTGTGTCTAAAGATATGCAACTACTGCGCTGTAGAGGCGATCACGTGGATTTCTGATTAACCGGTGCAGCATATGTGTTCGGTTTAAGCACGTGACTGATTTCCAAGAACACCAATGTGTAACTGTTCTTAGATTATTAATTTGGGCTTAAGGGAAAATACATGAGTTAGTAATGTGTGTCAAAATCTCAGGTGCACGGTTAATCCGCAAATCGGTTAACCGCATGCGAATAATCGAGAGTCTACTGTATTTCATTTGCAAGGCTAGCTCAGACACAGTTCAAAAGCAGACTGGGCTATGAACATGCGTTGATGTACACGTGCACATACCGTCGGTATTAAAAGGTTGCCACCAACAATGTGCTGCTAATGAAGCTCGCAGATCTACTCCGAATAACTCAACTCCTTTGTCATTGAACATCGCCTTCCACCAGCACAAACAAATGCAGTAGTAAACGTGAGCTCACAATTGGAAGATTGTGAGTTCAAATCCTGGTTATGAGGTTTTACTCCGCCCATCATCCCTTCAGGGTCGATAAAACATGTACCACTTTGTCGGGAAGGTTAACAGCAGTCTTCCATTAGAGAGACTTGTCCCTACCATAGGAATGTGTTAAATTTCCACCATTGGCTCAGGGCTGTAAGCAGAAGATGAGCACCAACATCAATGCACCTTTTCAGCAAGACTTTGGTCTCTGAGAATTCATAATGATAACATCCATAACATAGTCGTGACCAGGTCTGTATATTTAATTGTTAAAGCAACCAACGTGGAATCAAATCCCAACCCGAATATTTTTTTAATTAGCTTCTGCCCGTGTGCACAGTTTAACGTGTGCCGTGTGTGTGTGTGATGAGAATGTGTTATTTGTATTGTTTTTGGTGCAGAGATGATTGCTGTAAAATTGCTTTATTTCTGAAGTTCTTTAATGTGAACAGCTGCGGTATTACACATGGCCCATACCACACTGGAATCGGAGAAGATGTTACAACAGTCTCTAGTATTTACCACTGCTTGGGTCACCGTATACATTTATATATGTACGTTGAACTTCTTTCGCAACATATGTAGCAAACCGTGCTAATCGAAGGTGCGGGGGAAAGACAACAAATTTAACACAAAAAGCAGTCATAAAAAAATGAGTTTGTCAATCTAGATGATGATTTAAAAGTGCATCGCTCCAGTGGCTTCCTCATATCAGAAGCAAGAGCGTTCCAGACGGCTGAAGAAGTGCATCTGAAAGCCAAAAGCCGCTGCTGCTGTGAGGATGACACGGAGTTTGCCTGATGATGGTTTATGCCGCTTGACGAGATCAAGCGCTTAGCGTGCAATGAGCGTGGCCTTTACAGCGAATTCGTTCGGCAACCGGCAGCCAATTCAGCTCGGCAAGCGCTGCACAAACTCGGTCAGATCTCACGCATGGTACGTGATGGGTGCACGTGAGCTGCCTGCCCAGCGCTCGTGTCAACACACTCCGCAGCACGTGTTGATTTTACACCGAGTTAACCTAGGAGAGGTCTCGGGCCAGGTTAAGATACCACATATCTCTTATCTCTTGCACGCATGGGCAGCGATTGTGAGTTTTTCTCAGCTCCGCGGTGCAGTGTGTAAAGCAATCTGCCACTGCTCCCTGAGTCACGCACCTTATCACCAGCGCAGGCTCGACTCGTTCGAGTCGTGCTATATCAGGGGCTGGAGCAGTGGCGCGTCGGTGAGCACGCTTGGCTACGAACGCGGCGACCTGAGTTTGATTCCCACCCCCATCACCAACCCACTCTCTCTTACTAGCGTGGTGAAGTATGGACACACACAGCGCGGGGAGACCTCGATCGAGCAGTGGATTGCCAAAGGGCCTGTCGATTGTTATATTATCAATGTTAGTATTACGAAACTGGCCCACATGTTCGCATTATAGTGCATATAATTACAGATTTATATATTACTCCAATAATTGTGATTCAATCCTGTTTTTATCTTTTCTTTAGATTTACGATATCCATATCAGAGCCACGAAAGTCAACTTTGCAGGCCTCCGTCTGATACGGTGAGTTGATTTACACAAATTAAATGCACACCAACTCGTTTGCAACAGTTTCAAGGCTTCAATTCAAATCTTATGATTTATTCACATTATTTGCAGGAACTAATACATCTATATATTCCAGCAAGGTCCTTAAGATCTTCCTATCTCCAACTGCTCAGCACTCCCAGGGTCTATGTTGTGCTCTTTTGGTGATCGGTACATTTGTTAGCGTGGCACCAAAGCCTTGCTACTTGAAATCAGGCAATCAGAGTCGGTAGATGTATTTAATTCCACTTTGAAAACCCCATCACTTTAAAGTGGCCTTCCCTCTTTAGTTTGGTCGGTTGCCCTGGTTCTGTTTTAGTTTCCTGCTTTTCATGCATTACACATCGGGATCCTACGATGGAATGCGCATTTTACATTTAAATTATTATTATTCATTGACGATGGTCAAAATATAATGAACATGTGAACGGGATTCCGTTCACCCAGCAGCATAATTGGGGAAAAGCCGCAGGTAATCAATCAGCAGGTTGCATTTGGTGGGGCAAAGTGAGAGGCAATTCCCACCCCTTCCAAGGTGTCCGCTCAGCCAGCAGAGGAAGCTTTTCAAGCGCTGTTTTGACTTCCTAATTTTTGTGATTTTGCGTGGATGACAAGGAGTTGAGCGGCAAAGCCCATCCTATTATCCGCATTCGTCCGTGTTTTTGTCACGGATAAGTGGGGGGTCAATTTGTGCGCGCTACTCACGGGTCATCCGCAAAGATCTTCCCCGCACGTCGGTGCGGATGGAACGGGTCGTTCTGTAAATACAGCTTTAGTCGCCCCCTCTAGCAGCCGTACTGCAACACTTGTGTGTGTTTTCATAAACACATTCCTGCGGAGGGAGCTGGTAGGAACGTTGTGTTGCTGGGTCAATGGCCAGGGTCAACGGCGGCGTGGTGTATTCCGCAAATATGGCGGACTGTGAGGGCGGGCACAAGCCGGCGTGAGCAGGTTAAACGTTGAGTTTTATAAGGGCACCACGGGGTGACCAGCCCTTCTCCACCCAGCCCCACCCCTCCCACCCCTCACCCAGCCCCACCCTCCCCACCCAGCCCCTCCCCACCCTCCCCTCCCCACCCAGCCCCTCCCCACCCTCCCCTCTCCACCCAGCCCATTTTTGGATGCACGACGGACGGACGGACACAATAATCCCCTGTGGGCTGGTGGAACCAGGTGGTTCCTACCAGTATTATATAACCAGTAAGAAACCCCATACAGCGATAAGCGTCGTCTTGGGTCATGTTATATATATTTTTGGGGCCCAAAATGAAATACAATGTGAATTAAAAGCCTTCCCGCAGTGTGCGGTTTTACTATCAGGTGACGTTATCGCAGCGAAGCCACGTGCAGTCTTTCTAATGAGCGCTCCACACGTCTCGTCTGACGCTATTCTTCGTCTGAAAGAGCACGGGAAATGCCAGCCTTCCTCTGTGATTGTAACCTTTATCCGGCCAAATTATCCAGACAGCATAGACTTTGTTATACTTCTTCTATATTAGACTTCTAGACTATATTTCTATACTTCTTCTTGTTTCCTCCCCCTTGTTCAGATGTTAGTTTCGTTATTTATTTTATTTATTTGAGACATTAGTGGAAGGCGCCCTACAAACGAATGTAAATAATTATCAAATAACTTTGTTATTTACGTATGATTTTTACAAAGCCTCGAGTAACATATTATTACTCTTTGGTTCTTTCGGTAAAGTCACGTAGGTATAAAATAAATTAAATCACGTTTCGGGCGCAACACAAGCGTCCGTCATCAGGTGGGACAGCCACAGCAAGAAAGAATTGCTGAAGTGGGCAAAAAAGCTGATTGTGACAAGGGATTATAGAGCTGAGGAAGGGGGAGGAGCCAAGGGGAGTGTGGGGGCGGGGCCTGCCACTCTCCTCTGACCCCCGCCCCGCCCCCACACTCCCATTGGCTCCTCCCCCTTCCTCAGCTATATAATCTCTTGTCACAGCAGCTTTTTTGCCCACTTCAGCAATTGTTTCTTGCTGTGGTTGTCCCACCTGATGACGGACGCTTGTGTTGCGCAGGAAACGTCGTGATTAATTTTATTTTCTACCTACGTGACTGTACCGAAAGAATGGATCCCTGCAGTCACAAAAACTTCAAATCTAGATTTAATGTATTATCATTTTATTAATTATATTATACTACGGAAACGGGTTTCTCACCAACATTCTTGACAAATATTTCCGACGTCGATGCACTCATCAAAATGTTCTTTTGACAGGAAATCTACTCAAAGATCTGGTATGCCAGCAGGTTTGATCGCAGGAAAGCCGAAGACATTTTAAGAGCATCAAACTTGGTATGTGTTGGTGCACGAGCATTTTTCACTTTATTATCACTCGAATGGCTCTCTATATACTAGCTTGTTAGCACGTCCTAGGACGGAAGCGTAGAGTAGATTTACCTTTTGTTTGACGTGCCGAATAAATAAATAAAGCCACCAAACGCAACTGCGATGCGGCGTAGAATTATTTTTTGCCTTCACTTTCTATAAAGATACGTAAAATCGAAAGCGAATTTGCGTAAATGATAGTTCATAGCCGCTCGACCTTCTTCTGCGTAAGTCTCAAGATCCAGGCACACGTGAATAATAATGAGGGGGGGGGGTGCATGTGGAGTGACGTCACGCGCGGGACACACGCAGCCTTGTTTTGGCTCGTTATATTAGTTGCTGCGTTGATTTCTTTCTTAGCTTTACTTTCCATAAGGTCAAAATTAAATACTATAGAGTCAGTAGATACTGCTATAGATTCAGTCGATACTGCTGACTATTGTATGTAGGGTGTGTAGGTAAAAAGCCATGGCTGCCGCAGTTGTATGCCTGATGGGTATCTGTCATTTACAGATAAGTGTTAGAATTGGTTTAGGCAACACCGTTGGCAAGATTCTCACCTTGACCATCATTTCCTTTTCATGCGATTTTTGTTTTTTTTACTAAACACCTGTGGATCCATAATAGAGGGTTTTTTTGGGTTAGATCACGTAAATATAAATGTGTCGTTAAACCCGCTACCACTCGACACACCCAATTAGTCAGGTTTGTTAAGTAAACAAAGCGTGCCGATTCGTTACGAGTACAACACACCGGTTGTGTGTTAGAGAGTAAACCCACCACAACATTCACCATTCGAGTGCCGTGACGTCTCGCCCGGTCCATACAACCGGCCTGATGAGGCTCCATTCTGGATGATATTGGCTCACGAAAGGCCAACGTGTTAAACGCCCGTGCGTGTCTTTAGGACCACTGGATGGGGCAAATTGGAAAGGCGACGTGCATGTGTTTCGGCCGTTTCGTCCAGATGGGAACCTCGGCCTCCCCGACGGGTTTTACCTGTGGCCTCCTTCACCGCTTCTGACTCCAGTCTGCTCACCGAGCTCTCGAGCTCCTGTCCCGACTAATACAGCCGCGCGCTGTGTGCCGTCCTGCCAGAGTAACCCTCTCCCTGCATTCGCTTCTATCATAACAAAGCGACGCTCACTGTTCATGCTGCCACGGTGGCGAGATATTAACTAACTCGCCTGGTATACAGGAGGTCGTGGGTTCGATCTCGACCGTGACGCCTGCAGTATTATTTGGAGTTTGCGTGTCTCTCTCCCGGTGATCGCATGGACTTTTCTCCGGGTCCTTCGGGTTTTCCCACCACATTGAGAATCAACGTCACACGTTTAGAGATAAGCCACTTCGTTGTGGTCAGGTCGCTTCTGATAAAGAGCTCTATGGCTCAGTGGGCCTTGGTGACATCAATTCAGAAGAAATCAATGGTCCTTTCATATCAATTGGTGTAGGTTTACTGTCAGTGGTGTACGAGCGTGGTTGGCTTGGGCCCTGGTGCAAGGAATGAAATGGGGCCCTTCCAGCCCCCATAGTCCCTGGTGCCAAGTTGTGCCACCCACAACAGTCACATCGTCACTTTAAGATGTTTTCTTGTTCATGTTTTTGTTTGTTGCGGTTGCACCCGATTCAAGAGCCAAATGGCTCACAGGGCGATACCAAATAAATGAACTTGAACTTGAGACACATGCTGCTTACATGCCGGCCTGCGGCTGGGCCTCTTGCAGGATGGAGCATTCATGGTGCGGAGGAGCTCCGGGCATCAGCAGAACCAGCCGTACACGCTGGTGGTGTACTTCAAAAGGACCGTGTTCAACATCCAGATCCGCTACGTGGAGGCCGAGCAGAAGTTCGCCCTCGGCATGGAGAAGGCGGGCGAGGAGGTAACGCGGCGTTTGTGTCTCATGGACACGTAACGACCTGGTGCTTCGTTGTGGCCGCTGTGCGTGTCGTGGGTGTCCAGGCTCCAGACATGTTTTTAAAAATGAAACTCAACTATCAACTGAGAGTAGGTTTTCCCCTTTTTTCTGGCAACAAAACAGTTGTGTTAAGATGTTAAAACCCCTATCACTACTCCAACCCCCATCACTACCCCAGCCCCTATCACTACCCCAACCCCTATCACTACCCCAGCCCCTCCTTCACCTCTCCCACCTGTTCTCCTGTTACCATCACCACACCACCACTTTTAATGAGCCCAATCTTAATTTCAATGAAATGTACAATATTACAAATGTTGTAAAGCGCCTTGGAATAAGGCACTGTGTACGTCTACACAACATGAGGATGCAAAAACGCGTTGCTTTTCTAAACGTACCGCACTTTAAAAGTTTTTCTTACTCCTTCCTTTCATCCCTTCCCTAGAAATTCAACAGTGTGCCGGAGATGATCGAGCACTACGAGCTGATGCCGCTCACGCTCATCGGGAACCAGCAGGCCGTGCGAGGGAGCACCCGGCTCCTCTACCCGATATCCTCGTGACCACCACCAGATCCCAAGCTCAAGAGCCACAGCACCGCTGCACCATCGCCACCACAGTGGTCATCCATCCGCACCGGCGGAGTCTAGTTGGGGGGGGGGGCAGAGGTTCGCTTTGTCCCTCACATTAGGAATCGCAGGTGCATATCATTATTTTTTTCTTAATTGTAAACTATTAAAAATAAATTAATAACGGTGTCCAGTTTTTTTTTAGGGGGGGAGGGGGGGGGACAATGCCCAAACCTCGCCCAGGTCGATGATGGGTGATGATAATGGGTGGTGATGGTTTTGGGTGGCGATGGTTGATGATGGGAAATGATGATGATGATGCACATTGCCAACGAACATCGCATTGGCCAGACCAGGGGTCGGCAAAAACCTGCGGCTCTGGAGCTGCACGCGGATCTTTCTGGATCGCTTGGTGACGTGGTCTATTGAGGACCGCTTGGTGACGTGGTCTATTGAGGACCACCACCGTCTCATACTCACCACGGTGCATTGCGGCTCTTGAAATATCTCGTTTTTTTTTACCGAATTCGAAAAAAATGTCCCTTCTTGTTATTTAGGTTGCCGACCCCCTGGGTTCGACCTTGGCTCAGTTTCCCCAAAATTGGACGAAGGTAAACATTGGCCAACAAACGAATTGGATCGTTGAAATGTTTCCTTGTGACTTCTTCTTGCATCTGGCATTGTACTCACGAGGTCACGTCCAGCTCTCGCCGCCTCGTGCGGAAGCCGAACCGATGTCTCCAACGCCCCCACTGAATTTCCGGGGCTCGCGCAATGGCTCACGAGAAGGTTAACACGAGGACATGCAACGGTGTTAAAACCTCAAACGCGTTTTCACGTTTTCTTTCAATGAGCGTGTCACATTTCATTTAACGTTTAAAAATGTGCTATCATTTTACTTTGCGGTGGTTGAGCCAAGTAATTTCGTCGGGAGCAGTGGATCGGGTCTCGCCGTGATTGCTACCTCTTTCATATTTGTGATTCGGGCGTTGAGTCGTCGTTTTTGTGTCCCACGGGTCTGTTCCGGGTGCTTCGTCCAGGAAAGTTGTTCAGTGTTGCGTCGGAGGATCCTCATTCCAGGACCCATCTGAAAGCGCGTGGGGAGGGCCGCTTACGGTCGCTTGAGTTGTTGTTCTGCGATGATCGCCGATTGATGTCGAGTCGGCGGGTTGATGGCGCCATTCGTGATTTCGCACTGAACGGAGCCTGAAGGCCACCATCTCCCCACCGCCCGGAGTCGTGTTTGCTCATCCAAGGTAGAGCAATTTCAATGTGCCATATTGGCACCACAAGCACAGCATGTCTTCGTGGTGACGATGCAAACCCTGTCACGTAACTCTCTTCTTCGTGTGGTTGGGGTGAAATGTTACAAAGGCACGCTGTATATCGAAACAAAGAACATTGCCATGTGAAGGAAAAGTTCACGAATGTATAATTTTCATGAAGCTGTAATTAGCTCCTTTAGTTAAATATTTTTTTTACTAAACTATTTTACAACCAAGTATTTCCTGAACTTATTTATCCTCTTCAGTAATGTAGCTACGTGTAAGATGAGCGTAACTGCGACATGAGCAAAAACTGTTAATATTCTTGGTTCTTTCGGTAAAGTCGCAACCCTGTTCTTCACCTGAGGACAGCTGCTTGCGTTGTGGCCGAAACGTCGTGAGAATTTGTTTTGTTTTATTTTATTATTTCTCTTATACGTGACTTTACCGAAAGAACCAAGAATATGAATCCATGCAGTCACGAAAAGCTTTAAATAAAAATATTAACTTTGTGGTGGTGTCAGTATTCTGGACAATGCAGGTGACATTACTGGCCAGTTGCATTGCAGTATTGCGATTCAGATCATACCACTCAAGCTTTGCTTTCAAGAGTACATTGTTAGAATGTTAGTCGCTATCATTGTTTTATTATAATGTTTGTTTACCTTGGAAAGCCACATCGAGTCTCAATTATTTTCGAGGTGGCTGCTGCCAGGTCGTCGCAGTGAGGGGCAATGCTGCCAGGTGGAATTCTCGTTTAATTTGCAGGTAATTTTTTCAGCATTGGGATGTTTGTATGTTTTTTTCTAAACCTATGGAAGTAAACCGGAGAACCCGGTGAGAAAGCCTGGAGAAAACCCACGCAGAACAGGGGGAGAACATAGACACTCCACAAGGCGTCCGAGTTGGGAGTCGAACCCAGGGAGTTTCTTCCTCTGATGCATCATTGTCACCACTGCGTCATCATCCTGCCGCTCTTTCGTCGAGTTTGAGCTTTCGTTGAATTCCAGCGTTGAGTAAACGTATCATTCATAAGAGGTTTTTTTTGGGTTAGATCGTTAAGCCCGCCACCACCCGACACAGCCAACTAGTAAGGGTTGTTACGTAAACAGAACGTGGCCAATTCGTCACTGGTACAGCACACCGGTGTGTTGGAGAGTAACGACACATTTGTATTTACGCGATCTAATCCAAGAAACCTGTATTATGGATATTGGCGGCGAAAGCCTACGTGTTACCAAACGTATCTTTGTGGGAGTTGAGGTTTTTTAGTGTAATAAAAATGGAGCGTTCATTTACGGGTTGGGAAAATAAACTCGTTAAGTAATATTTAATTTCAGCTGTTTTACCCTGATAATGAATTCATTGTGGACTAAAATGTATAAACGGCATATTTAACTACGTCGTAATCATTTTGTAGGTGGTGCATGCATAAATTGTGGACATGAGTGTGTGTTGTAGTTAAGCAAAGGTAACTAATTGTCACAATCACCCATTGCATATTAGAACGTAAATGTACATTCCTATTTCCCAGCATCTGTGAAAATGATCTTTTGCTTACGAGTTGTAACCGTGTATAACCAACAATTTTCGAAAATGGATTTACCAGTTTTGAACTTTTAAGTTCCTTTCACCTGCAAGTTCTGCACGATTGATCCAGTCAAATCTTTAAATTACGACAAAAACCCGTCACCGTTTCATAGGGCAGGCTGGAAGACCACAGGTTTCAAATGACAAGTGTGTAAAAAAACAGCCTCTGCAATGTGAAAGAGAAAACCATCAACAGTTCCCTTACGAAATGCACTGCGGTCTTCGTATTGGGTAATTTTTTACCTACGTGACTTTACCGAAAAAACTAAGAGTATTCGTATGAGGTCACCATAAACCAACAGTGACATGTGGACTGGTTTCGTTCCCATTGGGACTCATCAGCAGTTAACGATGTTCACTGCTGCAAAGTCTGCCTCTGGAAACAATAGCGTGGAGTTCCCACTTCATCACTCTGGGGACCATGAGCTTAGTTTAAGGGCCTGCACTATTATTATGCATTTATCTCGCCAAGTATCCGTGAAAGATGCATGTATTTTGCTCCATATCGTCATGGAAGTGTCCAACGTTCTTATTCTGTGATTAAAAAATGCTTTATTTATTGTGTTAAGCATTGCTATTTTCCAAATACATACATTTTCAAATGGTCAATAGTGCATTTACATATTAACAAATATTTTGCTGAAGTGTTTGTCAATTATGAGTTCAGTTTCATCAACGACTCGTGTATAGAATAGTACTGAAGCCACAGACATGTGAAATGTGCATATGTACATTTGCAACGACATCCGTGTTTAAATAAAGGTTATAAATTACCAAACATTGCCTTTTTCTAGAAGAAATTATTTTCGTGCTACAGCAGTTTCACCCACGTGGTCTGCTTTCCAGCAGTCTTAAACAGAACACTGGACCAGCTTTGCCACAGCGAGACATCTTCCAATCCAGAAGCATTTACAAACCCTGATGAGGCCCAGACAATCTAAACTCGACAAATTTGCTTTCTTAAACAAATGGCGCTGGATAATATTAGCCTTGGACCAGACTGTTGTAAAATAACAGTGTGAACAGATGGAAGTCGACTTGTTTATTTACCCATAATGCTTAACAATACAAGGTATTTAATTAGATTTGTGCCAAACATGCAGTACTCCTGCCAATAACATCCGATAATCTGGCAGCGTTTCATGAGCCTGACTGCTTATGAGACCCAGACATGTGACTCTTTTGCCTTCTAAATACATTATTTTAAACCAGTCTGAAAGCCCCTGAGGCTAGAGGACATATTTGGGTTTTGTGTTGTGAGATGGATTCAAAGTACACAGCGTGAACATACGATTTTAGTTTGACAGTTTACTGGGTTCATTACTGGGAAGAATTTGGGTGGGAAGATAGGCAACTGAACTTTTTCACTGAAAAAATATAATTTGGGGTTTGAGATCCTAACAGCTCAACTAAGTACACATTAACTATAAGCCAGCTGATCAGACACTACATACAATCTAATTTACATTAAACATCATTAAATTAGTTTTGCCCATTTCGTGGACTGGTTGATGAGAGCCACGGACACATTTTTTCAATATGACAATTATAAAACATCGCCACAGTAAAAAAAAATCCAAACACGCTTAAAAATATTGGTTCTTAAACGTGACTTTGTAAATGTTTACAGAGGGAAAAAAAACACAACCGAATAAAACCAAATATAGACTATCTCTGAAAAAAGCACGACAACATGAGATGCTTCGTTCATAATGACGTCTCTCAAAGACAACCGAACACTTGCGATGAAAACAAGCTCTTGACAGGCAGAAAAAAGTTGCGAAGCTTCGCCTGCACTACTGCGGATATACAGCCTCCTCCGTTGTGGCCACGTCAGTGTCTGCTGCTGCTGCCGCCGCCTCGGCTTCCATCGCCGGTGGAGCGTGCGGATCCTGGGAGTCGGTGTCCATAGGAGGGAGCGGAGGAGGCGGGGGAGCCGCTCCTGCCGCCGCTCCTGCCGCCACAACCTCCCCCTCCTCGTTCACGCCAAGATACTCGTGCACCACGTTTTCGATCTGCGGCCGAAAGAACGTGCTGATCTTTGGGTTGACCACTTGATGGACGATGCGGTTCACGGCAGACTCCAACATGCCCGACCTGAAAAGCCACAAGCGTTCAATATATGAGGAGGTATATATACACACACCTAAGTCTACACAATGAGAACTATTCACCAGATTTCAAAAATTGTTTAAGACAAAATACACTTTTGGGTCAGGAGAGAT